GTGTCAACATCGATGGGCGGGACAAGAGCGCTGCCGATGCTGCTGATCGTCGTCGACGCAACGTGCGCCCTTCACCGCCAGCACAGCCGGCAGCAGCAGTGGAGCACGTCTGGTTGAGGCTTTCGCTCATCATTGTGAAACGCTGGACGTTGTTGAAAGAGTAGATAAGGTGCAGATGATGATGACAATGCTGTGGTCAAGATGGTGAGAGTCAGGAAGAGGCAAAGGGGCTACTCGAGTGACTTTTCATCTATGTGCAGCGAGGTCCAGCTCGTGCGTGCAAGTGGTTGGTGGCAAGTTGTTCCGCCAACACCCTTGCAGCAAGCAACAGCGGCGCATTAACTTAGCCTACTCTGAATTGCCAATAATCCCGATTGCGTTTGCACGCGGCAGCCGCTTTGCTTCGTCGTCCATCCTGCGTTACCATTTGTATGCGGTCTGCAACGTGACCCGCCTCAACTCGGAGAGTCGATGCAGTGCGCAAGCACGGTGGGTCCATTGTTGAACATGCAGGGTCAATCATTGTACTTCAGCAAGTTGCGAAGTTCCGAGTGTGTTCGGAAGACGCATGTCTCAATCGAATCAAACGGTCGAACTGCAGAGGATGTGAGCCGAAGAGGCTCGCACGCTTAGCACTGCATGCAAACGGCGGCTGGTGGTGGATAAGGATGATCGCATGGTGGGACCACAGAAGCGTTCATGCGAAAGCGTCTGTCTACATTCCAGAGCCGCGAGTCATCAGAGCTATTGAACGACCCGCGCTACTTCCGGCTTTTGACGGGGGATGGGGACGCAGCCTCCGCGGCCTCGGCCTCCTCGTTCTCCAGCAAAGCCTTGATCTTGCGATTCTCGCTCTCGATACGGAGGCTCTCCATGATGTGGTCGAGACCTGTGCCTGGGTCGTGCTCGCCTTCCATGATAGCATCAATACCATTCAAGGTGAGGTTGATGCGGTGATCTGTGACGCGGTCCTGCGGGAAGTTGTACGTGCGGACACGATCGCTTCGATCCATGCTTGCCACTTGTGCAAGACGGCGTTCGCGATTGCCCTCCACCTCTTGCTTCAATTTGCGGTCAAGCAGTCGTGCTCGCAGAACTGCCCAAGCCTTGGTGCGGTTCTGATGCTGCGAACGACTGTCCTGCATAGAGACCGAGATACCGGTGGGCTCGTGGGTGAGCCGAATGGCAGACTCGGTCTTGTTGACATGCTGTCCACCTGCTCCACGTGATCGCATCACCTCGACCTTGACATCCTTTGGGTCCACGAGGTCGTCCGCCTTGCTTTCAGACCCTTCAGAGATAGGTAATACCATCACTGCGATCGTCGATGTTTGCAGCTTGCCCAAGCTCTGCGTTGATGGGATGCGCTGGACGCGGTGAACACCGGCTTCAAACTTGACCTTCTGGAAGACGCCTTTGCCTTTCACCTCAATGATGGCTTCTTTGAGGCCTGCACCTGATCCAGAGGACGAGGTAGAGACGTCGACACTCGTACTTGACAGCATCTCGACTTGCCATTCTCCCGATCCGTCCTCATCTACCGGCTTCTGTTCGCAGAACCGCTCGTACATGCGAGCCACTTCCGCGGTGAAGAGCGTGGATTCCTGACCTCCAACACCGGGGCGAACTTCAAGCACTGCACCGACAGCCTGCGATTCGATAGCATCGGTCACGGATGCCAGGATAAGCGCCTCCATGTCTGATCGCAAGTTTGACAGCTCTTCCTCGAGCAATGTTACCTCCTCGGATGCCAGCGCCCGCATGTCCTCGTCTGGATCGTTTTGTCTCATGTTGAGAGTAGTGACGAGCTGTTTGCGCTTTGACGAGAAGGTCTCCCATGCCTGTCGCAGTGGATCGAGTTCCTTCAGTTGCTTTCCTACTTCCGCATTGTCGACACCTTCTGTTGATTCGAGCAAGCGCTGACGCTTTGCCATGCGAAGCTTAGCCAGACGCACAACCGGGTCTCGATCAATGCCCAAGGAGGGTTCCACGGGCTCTGGTGGTGCAGTCGCCTTGGCCGAGTACGTACGAGCCCAGCGAGGCTCCGCCAGAGATCTTGTCGGCCATGGAGACGGTGGTGCCCTTGCTGATCGTGACAAAGAATGTGTGATCGAAGGTGTAAATGAAGCTCGAGGCTGTCTGCGTCTGCGAGAATGATAAGGTCGTGATGATGACACTGCCGCCGTCGTGTGCAAACTCCTTTCCGCAACCCTCGAAGGTCCTGCGAAGGCCGTGACGACGGTACCGCGAACCGGCAGAAGAAGACTGCCAGTCATCGCTTCAATCAGCTCTGACCAACCACAAAGGAAGGGGAAACGGATTTTGTCAGTGCGAGTATGGCTTGATAGATGACTAGGTCAGATACCACAAGGGCTACATTGGCAAATCTTCTCGAAGACCCTGAGAAGAACAGCTTTTCTCGTCGGATCTCGGGCCCTGTCGCTGACATCCGTGTTCCGAAATTCAAACAAAAACTTCGGATCTAACAATACGCCCTTTGAGCCAAGGCTTCGGATGATGCCATGACCGGAAGGGTCCTCGCTATCTCGGCTGATAAGGACACAGCTGGAAACCTGTCACATAGCAACAACCTTGAGGGTCACAGTTCGGATAGCGTGCTATGTCCAAACCACGACACCGGCCAAGCCCAACAGCTTACGATGACAACAGACGCCTGTGGCCTCGTGCATCCGCTCCTGGTCGATGTCGTGTGTAGCAATGATCAAGTCGACTTGACGTGACCGAGACGGTACTCGCTCTCCAGTCGTTGACTAGCCCTGCAACCTGCACACAAGCTTTCTCCGCCGGCTCCTAGGCGATGTTGCGGGGTTAGGCTGCTAGACAGCCAGCCAGCCGTCTTGGATGATCATTCTTATAGCTGACTACTTGGCAGTGTCGTTCTAGCCTCATCCTACCCACCATCACACCATATCCACTAGCTTCGTCCATTCGAATCACTGTCAGTGACATTGCCATCTCGGCCCTCTGACACCACCTTCGACATCATGACTGCGACTAAGAGGAACGAATCTGCTTCCAGCTCTCCACCACCGCTTGAGCCGAGCGAAGACGGAGAGCAGCTGTTCAACAAGGACGGCAGTCGACGCAAGTCTCGCGTACTCCGACGGAAGACGGACCACTCCATCATCGAGCGGCGTCGACGAGAAAAGATCAACGAGAAGTTAGTAGCGTTGCAGAACATCGTCCCAGCTTGCCGAAAGGAGTGCCAGGACCTCATCGAGCGCAAGTTCGTCGCACCACTACGCGAAACCGAGGACGACGACGCAAGAGGCAGTTCTGCAAGCAAGAAGACCGCCAAGCGCAAGCGAGAAGAAGAAAAGCTCGAAAAGGCGAAGGACGAGATGACGGAGAAAATTCAGACAAGCATGGTGCTCGAAAAGCTCTGCATCATCAGTCATACACTGGACTTTGTGCTGAAGCTGCAGGAGGAGAACAGAGCGCTCAGAGCATTGTGCGAATGCCAGGCCGAGCGTCGAGCTTCCATCACAAGCGATGTCGAGCTGGATGAGCATTATCACAATGCTCACAGCAACGATGTCCAGCAGGAGGCCGCAAGTCAGGCTCTCAGTAAAATTGCTTTCCTCATGGAGGACACCAAGCGTCCTTCTCTATCGTCGTCCTCGTCAGAAGAAGAGACACTGTTACAAGAAGGTCTACAGAGGCCAGCAAAGCGCCGGCTACATTGGGGTAGCGACGACGTGCGTGAGGCTTCTATTCGTAGTGAAACCTGCCGTCTCCGATGTCATGCAACCCCCGAGGACCATGTCTGCCGTCGCGAGCGTTCCCTATCGCTCGACGAAGCACAGACGATACCTCGCATTGGCAGCGAGGAGAAGAAGACTGTCTCGACCTTACATGGCGGCCAGCTTTCAGTAACGGACTCTAGCAACTGTCACTCATTCTGTCGAACAAGACCCTCTTGCTGCCGAGAAGAGGAGCAGAGCTCGGAGGCCTCTTCAGACGCTTCCGAGAGCCTGCCCTCACCCCCTCCATACCCGCAGGGATGGCGGCAAGCCAGTTTCATCGGCCAGTATGCACTTTCTGGTCGCCCTCGATTGCCACCCATAACCAATTTGGGATTGCCTAAGCAAGGGTCACAAATTGCAACTCTCAGACATGACACGCTCGCATCCCTGTACCGCAGAGACGTGCCTAGAGTAACTGAGACTGCAACATCTCGGGCTTTCCGTCCTTTGTCCTTATATACTTCACATACCTCGCCAACTGGTCTTTCGACCGTCAAGCCATAGATACATTCAAGATGAAATTGAGAGTACTGGACAGAATTCACATTGCGTCAACACCACTTTGCTGAACATTGCTGTGCTACTTGGAGGTGTCGGTCTTTTGACTCTTCAATTGACCCTAGGTTTTCGCCTCTACCGTTCCAACCACAAAAGGGGATCAGAGGCGGGGGCTCGACCCACTATTCGCCTGGTTCGTCGATACGCCGTGCGAGAGTGAGGTTCCCAGTCATATGGAAATCAAACGCATCCCAACTTGGACTCTAACAGCGTTCGATACCATGCAATCGCTCACCACGAGCACGCTTGAGTGGTGAGTAATTGCCTACACAGAAACCATACAGCCAAACACTGGGCTGCACGTTGGTCTCATTGCGTCCTTGTGGCTGTTTCAAACACATAGTTTCACGGGAGAAGTCTCAGCATGCCTTGTCGCGGTGGAAGGGCAATAAACAGCAAACGTGACACTATACCGAACAAGATACACTGCAGTACAGATTTGAGCTGATCTTCGGATGTGATTGAGCCCGTTCTCAGACGGATGAGCAATCAGCCAGCTTCTGCTCACCGTCGAGTCACGAATGTCAAGAGGCTTGGTTCTATCAGGCAGATGTACTGAGCAAGTTTCACACTCAAGGCTCAAAATTTAAGGCAAGGTGCAGCAAAGAAGCAGATGCGAGATAAACAGTAAAACATTATAGCCCAGGCTCATGGAATCGCAGAAAAAATACATCCTGCAGCTTGGAGGAATCGAACATCCGTCTGCTCGGAGCAAATCCGGCTACTCAGTCCTGGCTTCGAGGAAACCACAACGAGCTGTACTAACCACTATACTAAAGCTGCCTACAAAATAAAGGAAGGCTTGCTTGCTAAGATATACTACACTAACTTGTGACAAGAAGCAGACCGTGTGCTGAGACTTTGGCCTCAAAAGAAGTGCAGAAGTAGGCTGCAAGTTGATATGCTACCGCGCACAGAGATCCTGCATCACAGCTTGGATCAGCATCTGAGGATTGAGAATGGTATTACCGGCCACTGCCATCCTGAGGTCCCCAATAGGCCTTCCAAAGGTTGCGAGAGCGGGCTGTGCGACGATGCTTTTTGATCCTTCGATGTCGGCTCTTCCTATCATATCGAAGCAGAATTCGACCTGCGCCAAGGACGTCATCGGTGTTGGCGCCTCAAAGCTGCTCTTTTGGCGGCTTCGTACACCAAAACTTCTCCGAAATCCTCTGAAGAAGCTTGGAATTGGAGGTCAGGTCGAAAGGAGATTGCGGAATGACCTGGTTGCTTTGGCGTTTTTGGATCCTTGCGAGTCGGCAGATTGGCCTTTTGGCCCCTCTCGCCTGTAGGGGGAGCATCGGCAAATCCCGTTGGTACAGGCACTGAGGGATCAGAAATAGTCACTAATTGAAACAGGTTGGCTGTGGGTGTGGATGTGACGGAGCAAGTGTGCGAGTGTGCGTGCGTAGAGCGGAGGATCAACCTCCTCCCTCAGCGTTCTCTCTAACCCTGTTGACGCTCTTCCAGCGCGCTCTTGCCATTTTCCAATTGTGATTTTCTCCACTAACATTACTCCACGCTCTGACCGCTCCGAAATTTGGCAGTGCACGCACACTCTCAATCACTCTCTCTTTCTCAATCCCATCCGCTACGCCTTGGAGGTTACAGTAGCATCTTCAACCTTCCAAGAGCTCTATCGCAACTTGCCCGTATCATCAGTGACCGATTCGGCCGGTCTTGTCGTTCTTACTGCATCCGCACCTCTTCCTACAAGCCATCCGTCCATCATCGCATCGACTCGAGCCGACTCAACACCGACAGTTGGGTGTTCGCATCTTCCACAATAGCCCCAGATCGTCTTGTCCCTTCATCGTTGCTACACTCCCTTTCATCTCGTGTGCTCGTCTAAAAGCATCTTCCTAACTTGTCTGGAGGCGAATTCGAGAGGCCTCCGGTCTTCAGGCATCTTTCTCACCCTCTAGAAGAGGCGCCCGCATCGTCACATCCAATCCCATCGCATCGCATCGCATTATCTTGCTTCGCCAATCTCAGCAGCCAACTCTTATCAGCAGCATCACCACCGCCACCTCGTATAACAACTGCAATGTCTTGCTCACAAGCATAGATCTTGATCGCGTCCGGCGATGAAAGTAGCTGCTCCCCCTTTACTGCTTTGAATCGCATCCCATCTCGGCAGCCTAATCACAACAAACCTAAAGCATCCCTCGTAGGTGGCTTGGCCTGATCCGAGCCGACGTCGACCTTGCCGACATGCTGCTCCCACACAGGCAGTCTTTGGCTAGGCGTCCCAAGTGGAGATCCAGGCCACTAGATGCATCGACATCAGCCGCCCTTGCATTCCTGCTCGGTTCAGCCTTGGTCTCAGCGTCTGCGCCTTACTCACCGCCATCATCATCGACACCCAGCTCAACAGAACGTCGCACTTCCGCTCGCATCGATGCAATTGAGGATGGGCCTTCTTGGCAAGTGAGCCAACAGCGCAGGAATGAGGCTGCAGAAGTCAAGTCCGACACTTTGAATCGTCGCAAGCATGTCACATTCCAGTATTCAGATCAGCAGTCGCAAGGCGCCTCTGCGCCAAACTTCGCGCAGCCAGTAGATGACGCCGATTCCGAGACTTTAGCATCCATCTTACCCACCATCCTGCGCCACGAGAAGCCCCTCTACGCAGACGATGACATGATCCTGCATCCAGATGCCTCCGCAGCCTCCTTGCCTCGATCCGGCAGCACTCATTCCGATTTGGTGTCCGAAGCTCACCAGTACGACACACAACAGCCAGCAAGCCGACCATCAGCCTATAACGAGGACCTTGTTGGCAAGCAGACAGGGAGCGGCTACGTCTTTGTCCGCCGCACTGATCCATCATATATTTCGGGTGCGGGTGCAGCTTTGGTCACTCTATTCTCGCGGCGCGATTCACCCGTCAGCCGTCCGCCGCTGGTTCCCAACTCGAACTCGAGACTCCTCATCGCACTTGTGATCGTCTGTATCCTCGCAGTCGGTGTTCTGACACTTGCTGCGCAGGAGATGTACAGGCGGCTGCAAAGTGTCGGTCAACCTCGCTCGCCGCTGCGAAGGAGATCCGGCGAGGGCCGATCGACACGCACACTTTACCGCAGCGATCCGAGCTACACATCGATACCAGCCAGTGTGCTGTCAGCACCGACATTGGAGGAGGAAGAGGAGCGCATTAAGACTCCGCCAACACTTTCGCGGCGCAGCAGCGCCGCTGCTCCATCATCGGTACCCTCACCACTGAATGAGAACAGTCCCGATTCGGATGACGAGGAGCTAGAGCGCAAGACTCAAACCGACTTGCATTATCTTTCTCTACCGTTTGGCATCGGCATCGGCTACAGTTATGCAAACATAGCCGACGGTCGTGACGCAAAGACCAGACTATCAAAGTTGGCCGCCAAGAGGTCACGCAGCCGCTCCGGCTCCACTCTGGCACTATCAACGGGCACGTTGCCGATTCCTGGGCTCAGTGCTGCTGCGAATGGTGGCGACGGGTTGAGATCACGATCCAGGTCGTTCAAGGAGCTGTGCCGTGACGCATTCAGCAGTGCCACTACGACACGCGACATCGGTGCAATTATGGAAGAAGAGGGCGGCAGTGACATGACAGGCGTCTCGACACCTCGTTGGGGCTCGTCGAGTCTTGCATCGCTTGACCTGTCGAGCTCGGGAGGCAGCGGTACAGTCACGCCCACAGGACCGGGAGGCAGCGGCACACTTTTGACTTCAACCGAGAGCATGACATTGGAGTCTTTGGCATCCCATGGACTACATGCAAAGGGACGATATTTCGGTGTTGATGGTGCGCCAGCAACGGGTCACACGCTGGTTGACCTTGGTCAGGGAACCCCCGAGTTGGCTGTATCGGATCCGGATGGTATCACTCGGCCCGCATCGACGCCAGGTGTGATGCCAAGTCAGGTGGCACGCCATCCGCTAGTGGAACAACTGCGTCGAGAGGGAAGATCCGATACAAGCAAGAGGGTGGGCAAGGGCACTCCCACCAATGCCAAGGCTTTCTAGAGGACTCTCCCATTCGCTCGTTTCATCTCACGATTGTACTGTACTTGTTTCCTGCAATATCAGTTCATGATCGACCATACTCCTCTTCGTTGGTTTTTGGTCGGATCAGCTGGAAGGTAGGCTTTGTGCGACTGTTGCGAGACCATGAGTTGACGTGATCGGCAGTGAGAGGTTGCGGTAACTTCACTCAAGCATTCTTCAGCATTGGACGAGCTCGTGACATGGTTGGATGTGCAAGCACAAACATGGGGCTGCTGTGGGCTTCTTTGCGGGTACGGTTCCAAGTGTCCATAATTATATTGCACGACGTTGGTGAGACGAAGCTAGGCTTCACTCCTGCGCTACTGTATCACACAAGACTTGCCACCATCTCCTGACGAGGCTTTACCTTCGCCCTCGCCAAACTCCTTGATCGTTATACTGCCATGATGATTTGAAATTGTACACACGTCTCCTCGCATGCCGGAAGCTATACTTGAAGCAATTTTGGCGGTTCCCCTGTGCTTGTGTGGTTGAGGGTCAAGGAGTTTGAATCGCTGCTGCATGGCGGGTGAAACTTTAAGTGTGCCTGTTTCTGAATTCCATTTGAGCATTCCGGCGAAACTTGTTGGAAGGAAGACGGTGATGTTGCCATTGTATGACTTGGCGCGAATGTCGAGAGGGCGCGCGCCGCTGTAGCTGGGGATGCTGAGAGAAATGGAGCCAAGAGATCCTGTCTTTGCGCTGATAAGAACCGGTTTTGAGTCGGGAGCAGACGCGGACTCGGGTCGTTTCTCTCTGAGGATGTGAACGGTAGCATTGATCGGTGAAGACTTGGTGATTAAAACGCAGGAAGAAGCGTTGGCTGTCTCATCTTCGTGTCTTGGTCGATCGTAAACGGGTGGAGAGGCTTCAGGTGCTGAGGCGCCGATTGCTATTGTCTTCTTTATGGATGCATTGGGCCAGTCAATGTGGATGTGTCGATGAGCTTTGCTAGGTACACCGCCATGCTGCTCCGGGTTCCAAAGTGCTTCTCGGCGCTGCTGCTGCTCGTAAGGCTCGTTATCGTCGGCAAACGGATGAGGATGCGCTGATTGCGCTGGTTCGGCTTGTAAGGACATGGTGTTTGTGAGCTGAAAGGGGTGTATCTGCTTGTGATGATGGTGATGATGATGGCAAAGATGGATTTCAGCGTCGTGCAAATGTAGACAAGGTTCACCATGATGACTTGGAGGTGTCAAGGTCGTGGGAGAACTGCGCACTGTTCTTCAGCCCCTTACAGCTTACTCCGCAGCTTCTTGACGTCTTCGGAGACTTTTAGACCGCCTGCCCATAAGCTTATCCCCACTTGGCACTATCCAGCCTCCACGGGAAAAAGTAAGACAAGTGTGAAGAGTCAGACCCTTTTTGGCGAGCTCTAAATTTTCAAAAGTCACGGCACGCACGGCAACGGTCGAAAATTCGGTTACCGGTTTTTCCAGAAGAATCGGCAAGCCGGCACGGATCCCCCGAAAACTTGCCAATTCGGATCTTCCTACAGCTGAATCACAATTTCAGTCACACACTGCATTTGTGGCACCTACCAGTTGAAGATACACTGGCATCGCCAAAGTATGATGTGTTAGATCAGAGTATTCATGATCGGGGAATCGGGAAGACATCAAGAAACAAGGAAGATAAGATAGATGCAAAGCTAGTGGGGACATATGCAGCCTATGCTCGAGGATTGACACCATGGTATGCAAGGGGGTACGTTGATATGACAACACTTATGAAAGGGAGATATATGGCACATG